CAAGATGCCTAGATCTCACACCAGTATCTCACCGTGGGTTCGTACGATACCATACCCCCTTGACCGAATTTCAAAGCTCGATTGTTCCACGACGAAAGGATGCCAGAATCAAATGGTACGAGTTCGGAAAAAATTCTAGATAAGACGGTGCCAATGCAGCCATTTTCGGCGTCGTCGCCTTTTTGTTGGCAGGGTTATCGAGTTTTGGAAAATGGGCCTAGTGGGTGTGGTATCTTGTGCAACCTACGGCATGTACGTTGTCGATCCTTGCTCCACCGCCGTGCGCCAACGCTGACACTGCTGTGTCAGCAAGTTGCCGAAAGCCGAAAAGGGTGGTTCCCGAAAGATCTCGCCAAGAGGATCGCTTACACGTACGTTGTTTAACCTTCTTAAGTTTGTAGCGCACGCGAGCTTTCGACAGCAGTCCGTCTACAGCTGTACCCGGCAGTGGTCTAGAACATGTCTAGGCAGACTCTTTACCCCGGTAATATACACCTGAGGTGAATTTGCCACTGGAATTTGCAGCTTTGGCCAATGCGAAAATGCACTGCAAGTCGAAAGAAAGCCGGCTGCGTCTAGCGTCTAGCGTTGCTAGCAGCACAACTCTGGGCGAACACACTTCAAGGTCGGAACCAACGCCAAATAAGGCATGAGCGTGTTACGTAGAGTCAGCGCGCTATTATAGCCAAGGTAAGGGTTCCCAGCAAACAAAGCGTGCGGTGCTTCGAGCAAAGACCATGTATTATTATAGGTACCATGCACGACCTGGTACAAGGCGCCTTGCAGCAGCAGAGCGCAACAACAACAGCAGCAGGGCGTCGACCTCGAAGCTGAGGATGCGCCTATCGTGCGCCTTTTGCGCTGACCCAGCAGCCAACTTCACCTCTGCTAACAAGGGACGACCTTGCACTCCCAGCGGGGACGCTTGTTGTCGCCGAGCCGCCGCCGCCGCGGCCGCTGCAAAAGGATGATGCTGCCCTTTGTGCCGCCTGCCCGGAACCCGCACGCTGTGCAAGAGCTGCGCCGACGCGTCGGTTAGTTAATCCAATCATGAGTCCCACAGGTGTAGAGGTCACACGCGAGCGAGAATATCGCAGTGTGCAGTAGTGAGCAGTGAGGCAACAGATGTGTTTATAGAAAGAGGTGTTTCACAACGCTGCTGCTGCAGCACAACCAGAGGGGGGCTTCGCAGATTGCATGGTGCAATGGCTGGGCGGTATGGGGGGGCATTCGTAGTCGCATTCGTACGACAAAGCCATGCATCCATGCATGTAGTACAACATACCAGACTGGTAGACTGTATGCGTCCGCGGCATTTGTGCGCGGTTCGTTCTCCGCGACTCTTCCCAGCACACGAAGTGAGGAACGTAAGATGTACCTATCATTGGTTTCACCCATCCCTGGAGCAATTTTCATCGTTGACTAAATACTTGTTGTTCATGTATGTAAACGGTTCCCTCCAAGTTTGGCATAAACGAAGGGCTCACGGCGGTGCAGATCAGGGTGTCGCAAGAGGGCGAATGAATCGATTTGTCATCGAGTCCCTCTCCATCACTGCCCCTCCCCGGCCTGCTCCCCGGCCGGGGCCGAAATCGACCTTGTGAGTCCCTCGCGGGCGAACCAGGC